GCATTCTTGAAAATACAGAAGCTTGTCTCTTGTTTACAGAAGGCGTTCCACAATTTATTTAATGTATTCGCCAACAAAAAGTATCTTTTCGAGTTTAGAAGAACCTATTCTTTGCCGTTCTATATTATTACAGAATGCTTTCTTCCTGATTTAAAAACTATTCTACATATAAAAAGAAAGCGTTCTGAACTGTTCTATAAACTAGTAGAATCGTCTTCAACCGTTCTGTTTTGGAACGATTGGATAGCATTTTATGAAAATAAGATCGCATACTTTGACGTTCTAGACAGGAACATCTAGAGAATCAATTTTCTAAACCGATGAACGCATTCCTGACAATCTCATATTACTCCTAGACAGAGTAGAATAGATTCGTCACCGGTCTCTACACTATGGAATACTTTCATCCAAATTTAACGCCAGTTCTGGTTCGAAACAGCTTGCGCTGGAGTACGACAGGTTAAAACTAACATAAAAAATGATGGAACATTCGATAAGTTGCACTTCCCAGTCGACAAACCTGATTTTCGAAAAACAACATTTGATGCGATACTTTCTAGAGTATAAGCTACGGAAAATCTGAGCATACGATTGGATAGAGCTCGTAAAGTTGCAATGGAGGAGGTTCCCGGACGAATCATGTACTTACTTTCCTTTGAAGATTTTTGTAGAGAATGTAAATGTAGCTGTTAATTACCGGGAACGCCTTCCAGAAAAATGAATGCCCGTTTTTTTCTTGAAGGTGGGTAAACAGTCGCGAAGTGTATAACATGCACATACAGCCAGAGCTACTCGTATTCACACTAACACATCCACCCGCCACCTCACCCACATCCACACCCACACCCACCCTCCCCTTATATACACCCAAACCAACACTCACGCGAATCGCTGACACCTACCCACACCCTCCCCTTGCATATACACATCCAAATCGACACCTACCATTTATACCCACCCATAACCACCCACACCGACACTCTTCTTCTCTTTCATGACTTAATGCTTATCTAACTTGTTTTTACGATGTTTATTGCTTTTTTCAAGTTCTGTCAACCTTGGGTTTCTTTTTATCGCATATCTTTTTTAATACGTTGATAATGCAATTGTCTCAGCTATTCTTTCCTACAACATTAACTTACAAGTAACGTTCGTTCGCGGAATCGCTTAGCTCTTTCTCGTAGAAAAGAGTCCTCTTCACATTTACTGAAAAAACAATTGAAAACTGTGCTCCTCTTTATTGCTCAATATTCTTAGCACATACTTGCATCTTACTCAGTGATAAACATAGATCAAAACATATTTGAGTCACCGGTACCAGTGGCTTCTTAAACTAGCCTTTAACGAATAAGTGAAGTATTAGTAGTCTTATACGCAAGAAAACCAACAGTTTATAATGGCCACACTATGTGCTACAAGCACGGGAACATTTAGATACCCATACAAATGTATTATCCAGAAACTCGGTTTCTATCAGTCCATGCCACTTTTCCCAATTCATACTCCACCCTCCTTCAGTAGTCTCAGCATATGAGGGGCATGTTACATCATAAATACCATCGTGATGATGTAAGACGAGAGAGAGTGATCTCTTCTAGTATAACGGTAGTGCGTCTGCCCGGATAGCAGGAGGTGCGTGGTTCAAATCCCGCGAGGAGCATCATCTTTTTCGTTCTGTCGTGTATCACACCCGCTCCTTTTACTGACTATGTAACTGGGCACATTTGAATTTTTCGAATCAAAATACCTCTAGAACTGTCTTTTCCTAAAAATCAGTTTTCGATGTTTTTTGACCTTTGCCTCCTCTTCACCCCCCCCCCCCCATTCTAGTCACCCAACAGATCGCAGATTCAAAGTCCCCGCATCGAAATAGCTCTATAAATGTCTTTTCTAGAAAATTAATCTTCGATGTTTTTTGACCCTGCGAATACACTATCAAGCAAACAGTTTATTCTTGGAAGAATCTTCTTTACGAGAAAGAGAAAAGACGACCTTTTTTTATTCTAGGATTTTCTTTCTCTGTTAATTTAGTTGCAAAGATCTTCCGTACCACGGGTGTGGACGTTGGTGCGGATACGAGTGGGTGGGTGTGGGTGAATAAACAGTCGCGAAGTGTGTAACATGCACACACAGTCACAGCCACCCGTTACATCCACCCACACCCACACCCACACGCTTAATCCCACCCGACACCCACACTCTTAAACCCACCCAGACAACTGCACCCACACTCTCTCAAACCTCTGTAATCAGACTGACAGAACACAAAAAAATACACAGAGCAGACGACACGTAAGACGTTTTAAGTTAAACAGAAAAGTAGAAAAATAAAGATAAAGGTAAGATTCGTCTATCTGTATATTTTTGCTTATCACTATGAATATTTTCTATTCATAGGCCACCTCTCCTTAAGATACTAATGTGAATAGTTTTTCGATGATCCCATAAAGTATGCAGAGGTGATAATGAACAACAGAGATAGTGTTTGAAATCAATTACACACTCAAATACATCCGGAAGTGATAATTTTCTTTTGCCTCTACTTACATTTTCGAATTTGATTGGTTTAGTTCTATTTTCACTCTCCGATATTAATATTGTTGTTTTTTCTTTGCCAGATATAATACGACGTACTCATTTTGAAAGACGTTTAATCGTAATTTATTAGAAATATGGCTTACAGCGCAGTATCACCGACGATCAATATCAGTGATACATGCAATCAGCTGAAAGCTGGATTAGCAAATGTACTCGATAAACAAGGTGAAACAAAACCCGTTCAAATAGTAATCGATCGCCTAGTTGACAACGTAGATCGATTGACTAGTATGGATGTTGCTGCAACTATTCTTCGTTCTATCTTCTATCCATTTGGTGCACGCACGCTCAGTCATGGATCTCAGGTACGAAATAGACTAGTGAACAATATATCTCTACTAACGCAGGTACCAGATGATGAGTGATACATGTCTACATTGGAAACTTCGCATTTGAAGAAAACCTTAGATGTATAGACAGCAATATGCTGAACATCCTGTAAAACACGATCTAATAGGAGTGTTGAAGTGTTAAGGGGTATAAGTTTAGACCCAGGGTGTGGGTAAGTATAGGTGTGGGCACAATATTAATATATAATACCGACACCCTCAAGGAGTTTTAGATCATCTTCGAATATTCTCTGCACATTTGTTTGATAAATACTCAAATCTCGAGCTAGTTTTCGAGAGGACACAGGCCTTCGTCGTTTCAACTGGTTTTTGATCTTTCGGATGGCTGCTTTAGTCCGAATTGTTCTTGAGCGAGGATGTGGTTGTGGGTGATTAACGTAATGTTCACGCCGACGCCATCCCACACCCACACCATTGTTACGTCCCTCTCCTTGTAGTCGAGTTCCAGGATAATAAATCTGAAATTTACTCATCATAAATCATGTAAGGTGAAATATACTGCAGCAAAATTCACTCTCCCATACTACTCGACATCTAAATTTCTGAAACAAAATATTTCAGGTTTTTTTACTTGTATCACAGTCCATAAACAATTAACGTTGCTTTTGGATCCTAGATGTCTGCACATAGATGTACCACTCTCAATTAGTTTTTATTCAGTACTTTTTGCTCAGATTGAACCTAATAGCATTCTTTTTATACATACATGTCACATATATAATTGAAAGATTATCTTTCATTTTAGCTTTTAGCTATTAAAATGGTTAAGTTGATGCAATGGTGGCTAAGAGTAAAGCCAGATGAAGCACCAGCACGTGGTTTACTTGAACTTGTTCGTGAACGGCGCATCATGTTCATGCAACAATTAGCCGATGGTCGACAAATTCCGAGGTGAATGCTGCTAAGATATTTATTGGCTCTTTGTAATAAAAAGACTTTATGTAACAGATTCAGATACTGACAAACTATATATAGCTAGAAATATAAGATGCGGATAAACCAAAATAGATTCATCGGATCCTGTTGGTCCTAGATAATGGCAGCAGAGACTCCTCAAAATTTCCCGGAATCCTAGCTACTAGATTCCAAGCGTTGAAATCGACTGTAGTTTTTAGTAAATCCGACGGATTCCTCTCTTGAGCGGTGGGTGATGATGTGAGATCGAGTCGTTTCCTCATCTACACCGACACCTAATACTTTAGAATCGGTTCTCAGGTGAAACTGATTCCGAAATGTTCAATGTCGCGGAATAGGATGACTGACTCGTTAGTATTATGAATAGGAGTAGATTCAGTGCATATTTGAGTAGAGGGAGAAAATAAAGCAAACACAAGTGACAAGCTCTATCCGATTATTATATTGTTATAACTGTACGCTGGATAAACGAAAATCTTGACGAATAGAATGTTGAACTTTGTTTTGTTATATTCATCTGCTTTATTTAGTCGGAGAGATGATCCAAATAAGACGCCTAGTCTACTTTATCTTATTCGGTTATTTAAAGTGCCTCATTGTACTGGTAAAGAAATGAATGCATTGATTGAACTGCTTACAGCATGTCTGACTTACAACGAAAACAATGCTGTCGACATGCAACGTTGTTTAATCGAACCAGAACACTTCGAATCACTATGGCGACTTTACTTCGATCCCTTACTTATCGAAAAAGTAGATACTGAAGATGTGCAAGCTCATACAAATGCTCCGGATCAAATAGCCTATTTATCAAAGCAACCAATTACAGTTTGGTGGACAGATGGTCGTGAAGATGTTTGTAACAATGGTCGAGTAAATCCTCGCGAACGTATAGATAATCTTCTTCACCGAGCATTGAATGCTTGCAAAGGAAAAGAAGAACTGATGAGCTTACTAAAAAGTATGCAGCCAATTTTATTCAAAGTCATTCATGTCTTTCCTGCTTGGCAAAACCTGTATCGATATGTGAAAACATTATCATATTTTGATATTGATATTAGTGAATATCTTTTTGATCGCTTGCAAGAAGTCGATATGACAGGTTTTGAAAATGCATTACATAGGTTTATTGTTGATCACCTACTCGATATATGGCCATCATTGACTAATGATAATTTATTAGAATCTGTTCGACACCGTATTGTTCAGCTGATTCACATATTAATTAATCACAAAACAAAAGATTCAAATCTACTTATCGAACAGTTAACAGAACGTATCTGTGGGCAAACGCCAGCAAACAATGTCCGTGGTCATCTTTGTTTTTTCTTACTCCTCAATGATTTACTTCCGTACTATTACAAAGCTGGATTAACAAATGCTATCAAAAAAATCGATCAAAATACACTCTTATGGTATGTGGATTTCATTATAAACAACGATAGTACTGAAAATTATATGAATTATCATTCTGCTCTTATGTTAATTTTGAAATATGTCAGCATGTTCACCGAGCATGATCTAATTCGGCAATGGTTAGATCGTTTAAGTCTTCATCCACATAACACAATCTGCTATCAAATCATTGAACATTCGCTTTGTCCGACAACAACATTGGTAACCTATGTACAACATGCCAGTGAAACACAAGTTGAACAAGTCCTCAAGTGTATTCAATCGGAGTTAGCCATGAAATATATTTCAAGTTTATTAACAATTCTAGAATCATTAACAAGAAATAGTCAAACACAAAAATATGTTTTTCGGTCTGATCATCTTCATAATATTATTCAATTATGGTTACCTACAGTTACTCTATCATCAATAATAGTTCGATTGATTGAATTACTTCTGGATATTGGTTATTCAAAACATAATAAAAATGCAGTAGATATTGCACAATTCTTTACTGGTGACTATTGTTCAACATTAATATCGACCAACTTCGAAGATCACAGTCCTCTGGCTCATATTATCGTATTTCTTTCATCGATAGAAACTTATGATACATTGACTACTGTTAATTTTAATTCAGCAGTAGATCAACTTCTACGAGGACTTTTCAGAAATGTTGAAGAGAGGACAGATGATATTGATGATGATAATAGCTCAAGTTCGTCACATTTGCTCAGTCTTAGCACAGAAATTACAAAGGCTCGATCACGCCCTACGTTAATTCAATTGCTTTCATCATTTATTCCTGACATTATGGGCTTATTAGGTCAAAGAGGTCAAATGAAAAAATCTGGTATTATTTTACTTGCCGAATTATTGGATCTATCGACTAATGAACGTTCTACGTTGCTCGATAACGTACAAGACGCATCGACAACGGACAATACTAGTGAAGTCTTCACAGCTAATCAACAACAACAAGTATCATTTTTTTCTACAGAACAGTCGAACACCGCTGATGTTGTTCGCGTTCGACATGAAGATTTTATTAATGGTCAACAGCTTTTAACAAGTTTAAACAATGCACCACCGAATAAAATTGATCAAATTCTTCGGTCTCATTTATCTTATCGGAACTCCGTTTTACCTTCAACTGTTGAGCAAGATCAACATGATCGACTTGTTCTTACTGATACTGCACGTGAAAATGTATCCAAAGTACTTGAAGTAATAGATGATCCGATTCCAATTTTACTTGAAGGCAGTACTGGTGTTGGCAAAAGTGCGAGTGTTATGGAAGCTGCCCATCAATGCGGACGTACACTAGTACGTTATAATATGTCATCGCGTGTCACCATCGATGATCTACTAGGAAAAGTGGCATTAGTACTTGATGAACAATCACAAACAACACGTTTGCAATTTGTCGATGGACCATTTACGACAGCATTCTCACGTGGCTACTGGATACTTTTTGATGAACTCAATCTGGCTCAAGATACCGTTCTTCAAGCAATTGAATCCGCTCTTGATACACGACAATTAGTTATTCAAAACTCAAGCTCTGCTCAACAATCCACTATTGCACATAAAATGCATCCAGATTTTCGTTTATTTGCTACACAAAATCCAAATACAGGTTTTTTCAAGGGTAAACGAGAAAAATTATCACCATCGTTCCTAAGTCGTTTTCGACCACTTATCTTTAAAGAATTACCTGATAGGGAATGGCGTGAAATTGTTGCCAAACGATTTGCACCACATATGCCTGATCAAGCAGAAGTCTTAGCTGAACTACTCGTTACCAATTTCAACACCAATATCAAGAAAGCGTTGAATGATCCTACACAAGTATATCTTGAAACAGGTCCATATGCAGAGATTTCAATTCGTGAACTTCTCAAATGGGTTGAATTACTCATTTGCTGGCAAAAACAACATAATTCATGGTCTCGCCATACAGAAGCACGTACTACCGTGCTTAGTTTTAGTGCTTGGTGTGTCTATGGTGCACGGTATCGTTCGGTTGGTCGTACTCTCATTGACAATATTTTAACTGACAATGGCAAAGGTGGTTGGGGTCGTCCAGCTTTACATAATGTTAAGATCAATATTGATCATAATGAAAATTATGTCTATTTTGATGATGTTTGTTATCCAATTCAGTCACAATTAAATATCGATAATTCAAGAAAAGAATGGACATCTACATTCAGAGCAGCTAATCTTGAAAATATAAATTATAATTCAAATGTTTGGGATCTAGCACTCGAAGTACACATGATCATTCATAAATTAATAATGACCAATGAATTTATTCATTTGCATGGTATTTATCGTATTGATCGTAGCTGGCTATGGGACTGGCTTATTTCAGCAGGTCGTTTAGATATTCTTGAACAACGTAAAAAATTTGCTCTTCACGGTTGCAAATTATATGCAGATCGTTTTCGTCATAATCGAGCACAAGAAACAATACGTAATTGTTTTAGTAATGTTTTCAACGATGCCGATTTGAAACAAAAAATATCGAATAATAATGATTTCGTACGGTCAGAAATACCTTATGTACTTACTGATCGAGTATTATCTACTATCAAACAAGTATGTTTTAACATGAATATTAAACAACCTATTTTGATTACTGGCGCCGAAGGATGTGGTAAATCCGAATTATTATTGACCTTAGCTTGGTTTGCTGGTCAACATGTACATCAATTAAATATAACACCAGAAACTGAACCATCGGCTCTCATCGGTCAACTTATTCCAAATGATACTAAAGATGAAAATGATCCTAATTACGGTAAGAAATTGATTTGGCAAAATGGTTGTGTTACTCAAGCATATGTCAATGGTGAATGGGTGCTTCTCGATAACCTTGGCACGGCAGAATCATCTGTGCTAGAACGACTTAATCCAGTTCTTGAACAAAAGCCTATGCTTATACTGACAGAAAAAGGCGATGTTGACGAGCAATTAATTCATCATAATTATCAATTAGTTGCTACAATGACACCACCAGATGCTCATCATCAGATACAATCAATTGTAAGTGGTTCAACAAATGAACTTTCACCTGCATTATACAATCGTTTTGGTGTTGTTCATATGGAAGATATCTCATTTGATATTAATCATGATTCACAAGAATTATTGCTGATTGCTAAAGCACTTCTATCCGACGAGCCAGATACTGATCCTACTCTAGTGATTGAATTATGTCGTACTATTCTGACATTTTATAAAACTGATACTAAAAGTTTTCCCAAGTTCACATTACGTAATATCATTCGATTACTCGATAGTACATATCTTTTACAATTAAGATTCAAATCGACTCTTGATTTTGTTAGCACTTTATGGACAGCCTATCACGTAACAATTGCTAATCAAATAAAAAGTGAAGAACTTCGTACTAAAGTAACTGATCAAGTCAAACAAATTCTTGAAAAAGGTCGGCCATCAGTTCAACTTCATCAGCCTAAATTTACGGATTGGATTCACGAAAGTGCAGAACATATCTTAACTGAAAGCCGACTGAGCTACGTCAATGCAGTATTGGGTGCGGTCGCATGTAACATTCCTTTGCTTCTTGAAGGTCCAGCAGCTGTAGGAAAAACTGCACTTATTTCTTACTTATGTAAACATATGAAGTCGCAAACTTTGAATAATCATTCGAACATACCAATACAACTAGAACGAGTGAATAATACAGATACAACAACTATTCAGGATTATCTTGGCACGTTTCTACCTGTTAATGATGGTTTTGCTTTTCAAAAAGGTGCTCTCTACCGAGCAATGGAGAATGGCTGGTGGTTTCTGGCCGATGAATTCAATTTAGCGGATCCATCTGTCATGAATATGCTCTTTCCATTACTTGAAGGTAAGAATACGATTACAATCCCATCAAGTGGTAAAATTATGACAGCGAAGCCCGGTTTTCAATTTTTTGCAACACAAAATGATGCTTCTTATGCAAATCGACATCAATTACCAGTTTCGTTGCGAAATCGTTTTCTGGAAATACAGTTCGGTGAGTTTCCAGAAAATGAACTAGCTGAAATTATTGAAAGACGAAATGAAATTGGTAAACAAAAACCCGCATGTTTAACGAAGAAATCGACACAACAAATGGCTCACTTCTATCATCGAATTATTCGTAGTCGATCACGTATTACATTTCGTGAAATTGTTAAATGGCTCCATCGACATGCTCTTTTCTCACCAAAGAAAGAACTTTGGCCTATTGTCGGTGCGTCATTATTAGGAGCTCGATATCCACTTGATTCTGCCGTACGGCAGGTAATACTGAATGATCTACAGTCAGTTTGGTCTGATATTACTCTTTCATCAAATGCACAAATTGAAATTAAAGAAGTCGGTGGACAAGTTCGTTTTCGAGAAGGTGAACTCTTAGTTGATCTACCAAATATGTCTCTGAACAATACGTTAATACCTATGTCACCTGAAACATTTCATCGTTCGCTCGTTCGTCTTGCTCTAGCCGTTCACGCTAGAGAACCTGTTCTACTTATTGGGCCAACTGCATGCAAAACATTACTTATTGAAACATGGACAAGTCTTTCAAATCGTACAAATGAACTCGTTAAAGTTCATTTAACACCCGATACAGACGCAAGTGATTTGATTGGAGAAATTCAGCCATATTCTTTTCTTGATTTACTGAAACGACTACCAGCAATGGCTGAACGTGTTTACCTTCGATTTCGAAGTCTTTGTCAACATCATAGCAATACAGGACAAATGACCACAAAAGATGAAATCTTTCTTCAACCACTTCTCGAGGCAATCAATCGTCAACTTCCTGATGCTATTCGAGAATTTGAAAGTTCTTATTCACGTGATGAACAACGGCGACAAGATAAAGATGAATTACATGATGATTTTACAGCACTCCGTGCACAAACAGAAGCAATTCTCATGCCAAAACCATTGGATGAAATACTTCCAATGAACGAAAATGTTATAGATTCCACAATATCAAAAGCAACCAAAAGTGCATTTACTGCAGACTTCTATTCAACAGACGACTGCTTCGATACTTCTTATCAACCAGACATCGATTTGGGCTATCCAATTGAATCTTATGACATGATTGATGATGGTTTTGGTTCTACTTCCAGAGACTTTAGTTGTGACGCCCCACTATCGATCGATACAGTCACAGCAACAACAGCAACAGCAACAACTTATTTCGATGATGGTTTTGGCGAAAGTGCTGTACCAGCACTATCGAACTTGAATGAACCATTGAAAGAAGCTACTTTTGAATTCGACGATGGTTTTGATGTGCTCGTTTATGTAGAAAAACCCTCAAATATAGCCGAATCTAACAACGATTCAACTGATCAAGTACAGTCAACCATTCTTGATGATGGTTTTGCTGATGTCTTAAGTACAACTACTACAACAGATGATTTAATTTTGTCATCGACTAAACCAGTGAATCAAGTTTATGAGACTGAATTTTCTGAAACATTCCTTAATACAATTGAACTCATTCGAGATCAATTTAAAACTATGCGTCAACATACTAATTATGCTTCTTTCGCTTCTAAAGATGCAACTCTGATTGACTATCAATCCAAATTTAATGACGCTTGGGAACGTTTAACAGGAAAGAATTTTGATCGTACAAAACCTATTTTTCTTTTTAATGATGGACCAGTTACAACGGCAGCTAAACGAGGTGGTGTTATTTTTCTTGAAGATCTTGATCTACCAAGCCAAGCAGTCATCGAACGATTAAATTCGATGCTCGAACCAAGTCCAACATTTGCTCTCACTGAAGATATTACTAGTCATGCCGAAAAAGGTCAACTTGATATTATATTATCGAACCAATTTCAGATTTTTGCTAGTGTACATCAAGATCAAACCCATCAAGTACTAAAACTAAGTCCTGCTACTCGATCACGTTTTACAGAAATTTACGTCCCAGCCTATACAGAAAAAGATCTTCAGCTTCTTGTTAAATCAGAATTAATACGAAAACATATTAGTAGTAATCAAATTGATTCACTTGTTGAAATCATGTTTTCTTTACGTCGAAAATTACATGAAGATCCTGAATGGAAACTAGACAATGATATTCAGCTTTTATTTCGTTTGATAGATTTTCTCATCGGTCATCATACATCTATATCATTAATTCATCGACTCTTTCTTGGTGCTCGATTCGTCTATTTCGATCAATTACCACTACCAAGACATGCCTCACTTTTCGAAGAATGGCGTAAAAGTTTACCAACTGGAAATAGCTATCACGAATACGATCATATTTTTAAAGCGCCAACTGCTGAACATGGAGCGATCACTCTTGAATCGATCAAAGCGACTGAAAAAGATAAAGAACCGATATTTCCATTCGAAATCGGTCCCGGATATATAGCATTACGTTATACTAGTGTTCGTTATTCTTGTGAACATCTTGATGAACAGAATCAACTAAAACAAATAAAAAATCTTCGTGAAAATTTCTTTTGTGTTCCAACTCAAACATTGATCAATCAAATTGCACGAATATTTGCTGCAACATCATCTAAAACACCACTCTTACTCGAAGGTCCACCTGGTATTGGTAAGACACAAGTCGTCACACAAGTATGTGCCTTACTGAATAAACAATGTGAACGTATCAATTTGTCTGCTAATACTTCCTTGGACCAATTAATCGGTTGTATTATTCCTCGATTTGTGAATGGTACTAGAATATTTCAATGGCAAGAAGGTCGAGTCTTATCTGCTATTAAATCACAAAAATGGATTTTATTTGATGAACTTAATTTGGCTGCACCAGAAGTACTCGAAGCTTTAACACCACTTTTCTATCGTGGTACATCCCAGTTTATTGTACCGACCACAGGAGAAATCGTACCCTTGACAAATGTTCGTTTATTTGCTACGATGAATCCATCAACGATTGGTGGTGGTCGAAGTAAATTGCCTCGTTCTATCAGTAATCTGTTTACGATTGTTCAACTTGATGATTATTCAGAAAATGAATTACGTATTATTCTCAATCATCTATTCGATCATGATTTAACAGAAAAAAACATTAGTATGGATCAACTGGATGGGCTATTTGATATGCATACATCATTAAAATTACTCGTACGGCAAGGCACACTTGGACGAACAGGTGGACCTTATGAACTCAATTTACGTGATTTATCCAAGTTTCGAGATGTTTTTCGTGGTTCAATTGACAGTCAACTCTTTCATTACCAGTATATTGATACTACAGATGATAACACTAGGTACGATAATAATCAAAATATTAATAAAGAACTAACAGATGTTGATGAATTAAGTCCAGGTATGGATACATCCGATGCTCGATTTTTATCCATTCGAAAATTTGCTGAAGTTGTTTATGCTTGTCAATTTCAAGATCAGAATGATTTCTATGAAGCTTGTGAACGAATTAATACTAAATTTCCTATTAATCCGATTTTAAAAAAACGTGAAAACGATTGTTCAATTGATACTAGTGTTGCAACAGTTGTACGTATTGGCTCAATTTATGTCAGTACCGGACGAGAAGAACCATCACCAATTGAGACGGGTTTAATTCATACAACGAAAACTGTTCGCCAATTAGAATTACTTGCTGCAGCATGTCAATCAAAACGAGCCATTCTTCTCGAAGGTGATATTTGTTCACGTAAATCATCTCTTGTCATTGAGCTAGCTCGACTTACACGTCATCGTTTAATAATTATTCCGCTCCATGAAAATTTTGAAACAGCAGATCTTATCGGTTCTTGGCGACCAAATAGTCATGACGAACAAAATCACCCACTATTCACTAAAATCGATACAATGTTCAAACAAATTATTAAAATGCTTTTTCTTATTGTTATGCCATTATTATCTCGGGCAAGTAATGAACACGTTTTTAATCAATTTAAAATAATTCTTCGTCAACGATCATTAATGCCTGATGCAAGTCGATTTGAAACAATTCCTTATGAACTTGAAGCACTCCAAGACACAATTACTTTATTAACTGCATTAAGTAAAATTTCGGAGATGTCTAATGAAGTCAAAGTATTGATCTCATGTTACGCACGCCAAGCTGATTATTATTGTAATAAATTAAAACAGATTCGTTTAAATGAAAAACAAGAAATTGGTTTTGTTTTCGTTGAATCCGAATTTATTCAAGCGATTCGTGAAGGTTGGTGGATTCTTCTCGACAATATTAATAGTGCACCAGCTGAAGTACTTGAACGTTTAAATTCTTTGACAGAAGATAATCCAATGTTATCTTTGTATGAAAACTCAAGTGGTCAAGTTCTTACAAAATTGAATGGTATTCATCCGAACTTTCGTTTATTTACAACGGCAAATCTCAATCGAATCTATTCAAATAAACTTTCATCGGCTTTTCTCAATCGAGTTATTCGTATTTGTTTACCACCAATTGATCAATGGGATTTAAAGATCGATAGTGATCCAACATCGACTGATCTATATGAATTAATTTCCAATCAATTAGCAACAATACCAGCCAGTAAACAAATAGCAACTTTATTAATTCTTATGCATTTTAATGTCAAAGAATATGTAAAAGATGGTCATTTATCATACCCAAGTGATTTTCTTGTTACTTATCGACTTTTAGAACAATGTGTTCGTACTTTACGATATTTAGTCGATCAGAATGTAAATCCAGTCGATGCTTGTTTTTGGTCATTATTAAGATCGTATTGTTCATCATTACATAATCCATCGGAATATCAATTCTTTGTTACGGAATTAAAGAAAATAATTGATCAATTACATCTTTGTTCATCGTCAACAATCTATTCTACACCAACGGATCAACTGGATCAAAAACAATCAGCATGGCTTCAAGAAACACACGCAATTCGTGCAAATTTTCTTCAACTCGAACGATTTCTTGTTGAACTAATTATAACTTCTATTCAAATTCTCGCCTCTGATAATAAACTTTTCAAATCAACACGTGACTTATTCATATTATTCATCGATGATATTCTGCTACCAATGACACCTACTCAATCACAATTAATTCAAATAAAACAAATGTTACTCATTGAAACTGATAGTGATATTGATCTACCAAAACTATCATCAGAATTAATTCAATTTGAACAATTAACTCTTCGAACAGATCTTCAGCAAACGATGACAATTTCAAATTTTGTACAACAATTTATCACACATGAATCATCATCATTAGAAGTTTTATGTAATCAATTAAGTGATTTACTTGACAAATTCATACGTAATACATCGTTTAGTGATACATATGAACGCTTAGCTTTTCTTCAACGTACAATATTAATTATTGAAACGTTCGATCGCTTTTTAAGCTCACCAATATTTGCAACATTTGATCGTCAAACTAAAATCACAAGGTTCTGTTCTCAATTAATACAATACTTACGACCATTATTAACATTTAAAGAAAAATATCATACCTATGAACTCTTTCATGATCCAGCGTTTCTCGATGCTAAACAACAATTTCGTATGCATATGTTCGAACATTTCGATACTGGCTTAATTTGGTCATTTGAACGAGTACAAACATTTCCAATTTATTCTTCACGAAAAGATCTTCGCAAATTGGTCGAACATATTCTAAAAGATCAAAGCAAATCTAATTTAACTCAGCCCATTCAATATTTTGCAACACTTCTCGAATGGGTTGGTCTTCGCTGGACATTTGATGATTATCTTTCTAATAGTGTTCGACATGTTCTCCAACGAAACGTGTCAATTACATATGATTTTATTGTTGAATGTGAAGTGAAATTTTCCTGCTGGGAATTATGTAAAACATTATCGAGCATGATTGAAAATATTGTTCGAGAATTACCATCGGAATCAAGTACATTAGAGACGGATTATATACGATTGAAAAAAGATCTTACAAATAAACAAATGGAAGTAGAAAAAAAAGCGAATGGCGTTAAACAACTTCAAATTCGTATTGCTGCAAAGAATCAAAATAATACAATGACAACTACAAATGAACCGATAGTAACAACATCGACAACACGTACACCACTGTTACGCAATGTGTCTATATTCACTCCTGATGAGAATGATTCACAAGGTCAATTAGAACTTCTTCAAAATGAATTATCTCAACGACGTAATGAACTTAATCTAATTTCTACTCAACTTGATCGAATCGAACTGGATCGTTCACAAACTATTGATAAAGCATTAACAGCGCAAAAAAAACTCATTGATGATATGCATAAACTACGAACATCAGCTGCATATGAATTTGTTCGAAAACGTTTTGAACAATCGGATACGAAACATTTAAATCATATCTGTCAAATGCTCATTGATGCTAGCAAAAATCCAAGTTTAATTAATACCAATGGTCTGTTAGATTTACATGCTGTTCTCGCAACACCTTTTGGTCGAGAATTGATCGAACATGATGATATATTAGGCACACCAATGGTTCTTTTTCTTTGTGGCTTTTTCATTTTTCCGAATTTTGATCATGGACATCGTTTACGGATTATATCCGACTGGAAAGTTTTTCAACAACAGATCGATATTCGTACACTGAATCGTGCTGACTTGATAATGTACTGTCCAACCAATCGTCCATTTGATTGTTGCCTTTTATCTGTAGAAAATCAAGCTCGCTCAATCACTATTCATATATTCAGTTTACAACAAGACATCGAAACGCATAATTTGAGTGAAATTTTAACAGAAAATTTATACGAAGAAATTCAATTTCATTTTATTCAACAACAATTACCTCATACCAACGATGTACTATCAGATGATGACTTTCAAATATTTGGTTTTGCTTGTCTTTTATATCTTCATAAAGAAATAAACACATCAACAAGAGATATTTATGATCAACTATTAGTTATCTATAATCAATTAAAACAATTTGTTCAACAGAATGCACTTAAACGAAAACCTTTAACTTTTTTTATTTATCAAAAGTTGATACAATTTGAAAATGAATTACAAAATTTAATATTTGATAAAACTGATGACAATCTTTGGTTTAAAACTATTCAACAAATGTGGACATTAATTAAACCTTATCAAACAACATTTTCATCAGTAATGGTACAGAATATTTATCAAGAATTAAAATATACTATTCAGTCTATTGACCCACCAAATCTTAGTAGTCGTTTAACATCATTAGCATACATTCAGACATTAATAAATACTTATACTTGTGTTCATTTGATCGATGAACATTTACGTAACAATGAACAATTGATAGATATGCATAGTATCAAAGATTTTCAACTTCTTTTTGATTTTCTTCATAAATCAGTTCGTCTTCTTAAATTGATTATACAACATGTGACATTTGGTGGACAATATTTAACATCTGAACTCTATCATTCAACACCGGAAACCATTGCACATCTTGAACATATTTTTCGTTCTATATTAACATTAGTTGATATTGTGGATGGACAATTGAAAGTTAGTATTACGCATAAATCCACATTCTTTATTGACTTTCAAACTAAACTTGATTTATACTTAACTAACCTTCGATTACCTTCAAATCTACTAGCCCGTTATGGTCTTGTAAATTTTATTGTTCAAATTGCTCCACTCTTCGATGAACATCGTCATGAACAATTAATTAACAGTTCCGATACAAATGAATCCACTACACATATATCAGTGAGTATCGATCCGAAAGAATTAAGAAAAAAGACGATGCAAAATAGAATCGAAACGGTTATTACCAATATTACGAATTTATTATCGCGTGCTGGTCATCTCCCTCTTCGACCTCATCATATCATTCAACGTATTCATACAACATTGCACAAATTAAAAACATTTGATATTGATCAAGAAAATGAAGCAAATTGTAAATGGATTTTTACTGAAGAACAAAAATTAACTGACTTACTGGAAAGATTCACGCATGAAATTAATCAATATACTTCATTTCATGCTCCCTTACCAAACGATCGACCAATTCATCAATTACAAGACTCTGAACTTCGTTTAACAATTTCTCCGACTATTCCACTACTCAAATATCAATCAGATTTGAAATCCTATTGTGAAAATATTCAAAATAGTAGTAAGGTCCATTCATTTTCTGAATTAGCTCAAATTATTCGTTTAACTCATGCTCAAGTATCCAATCAAACATGGATACAAGCAATATGTCTACTACCATCGAATGAAAAGGATCTTCTCAAAAGAACTTTAATGGTCCTCAACGATGATTTAGCTATTCAACTTGAACGACAATCGACGAATGATACACATGGTATTACATTGGAAGATAATGTTGCTTTAGCTTATGCACAATTTCGTTGTGATCTATTAAATGAAGAAGCTAATAGTGACATGCTGTCAAATTATGCAGCTGTAGCTAATTTATCAACAAAACTACATGATTGGACTAAACAAGCACATTTGAATGTTTTTAATATGTTAGGAAATATTATGAAAATTCATGAAGATTTAAATCGAGCTCAAAATCAAATGAAAAATTTTCCAAATGATTCAAGCTGCAGCCTTTTACCGATTGACCTTCGACCAGAAGATCTTATTTGCCTCCTTGCACCTGAATATACTTCGATTGTACAAATTATTTGTTCAAAATTTAATCAGATTGATTTATATCTTTCATTTCGTGCAGATAAAATCGAACCAATGCATCTGTCTGAAATAGCATCATCAATAACAGCTACGCATGGTCTTGCTAGTTATGTTTATCGTCGTGGTACAACATTGACATCATTATTTGATAAACAAAAACATATCCATTCAATTGTTAATGCAACAACAAATGTTCTTCAACAACTTATCGATATGTGTATTGATCCAAAGATTCAAGCTAGTCGTCTGATGAAAATATGTACTAGTGTGAAAGAATTATTTCCTATACATATAGCTCTTTCATTAACACTGATGATTTTAATTGATCAAGTAGCGAATAATATTGCTGATTTTCAACAACATGTGCAACTATTAACATTGACAACATTGAAGAATGAAGAAAATGAACTTTTTGAGTTGAATACAAAGAAACACCAAATTAAACAAGAATTAAATATAGTACAAAAAGAATATGATAGATTACATGCTGAGCTAGAAGAGGTTGAATTAGAACTTCATTTTGCTACAAGAGAAGATCATTTTCTTGTTGAAAAACTTGAAAAAAAAGTACTCAATTGTCGTCAAGTTAAAACAGTTGCAGAAAAAAATTTGCAATTGAAACAAAATGAACTATTAACTGCTAAACAACATCTCGAACAAGCGAATCAGTCATACCAATATAAATTAGAACAAGAACAACACCAATGGATGATTACAGTTTTGAATTATTTTTCGAAGATTTCGAAAGTTATTAAAACATCTGTAGTTGGTTTAGGAGAACGATCTGGGATAACAATTTCATCAACAAATGATCTTCTTGCATTTTTGAATATTCCAATAGCTATTGCTCGACAAAGTTTTCTTCAGACAGCTCATATTATCATTGATGATATTCAAATACAACAATTACAAAAGGATCTATTCGATGGTTTGAACAATGTACGAACACATGCAATGGTATTAACAGAAACTGATCCGATGCATTCATTTATTTCATATTATTGTGATTTGATAAGTATGTCACTTTCATCATTTGTCAATTCGACAACGAGTTGGAAAGATTACTCTCAACTTCTACAAACATCACAACTTGAATTTTATGCCGATAATAAGAAGAAACAGAATATATGTCAATTAAATTTATGGACTCGAGAACAATGTTCATTATTTCTCGATGAAATTCATTCAGGATATGAACTAAGTGATATTATAAAACGTGCTCAAAATATTAGTAAATATGTTCGTACTGAAGCAACAAAACTTGACATTATAATGACAGGTCAACATACTAAACAATTTCAATATCTAATTCGTGAATTTGAACGATTTGTTCTTAATTTACTGATAGCCGGATGTCGTTATTTACAATTACAACGTGGTATACGTGAACCATTGGATGATCTTCTTGTAGGTATAACTACTGAAATAATGGATTCAAACCTACCACACACCGAAGTTGATCTTCTTAATCTATTAAATCGATGTGAAATGCAATTAAGAAGTCAAAGTGACACATTACTATTTGTTGCTTTACATCTTGTATTTACATTTAATTCCAATCCATTTAATCTTTTCGATCAACTTGAACGTTCAGTAAAAGCTTTACTTCAATTAGTTCTACCATCTGCTCATATGATTCAACGTACATGGTCTACAATTGATGGATTAATCGAGAAAATTTCTACAGCTATAACTGAAAAAGAATACAAAGTACTTGATGAAGTTTGTCAAAGTTTTTTACGATTAACCGATGAATCGAATGAAATTGATGATAAGGGTGATTTTATTTCCAAACGATTACGATACGATTTATTCGAACTTATTTCTAAGCTCATCGATCAACTACAAGATATTTTATTACAAAATCGATCAAATATGACACTTTTTTGTGAAGATCTCAATCGACGATGGCATTTAGCTATGAAAGAAATCTTTCGTGGATTTATTAAAGCACAAAAATTTCATATTCATCGTCAATTAGCTTGGAATCAACGAAAATCAAAATCCATTAACGATTCATTATTTCTTTTGAATAATGAACAATCTTCACTTCGATTAGCTGATATTGAACGTATTCTTCAACGAAAAAATCTTGTCTTAAAATCGATTGATTCTCAGCAACGTATTATTCGTTTACGACAATTATACTACCTTCAAATAATTTATGAATTAACTATTGGTGGTAGTGATAATCTTGAAGTAATCATTATGAATATGCCAATGGAACATATGGATTATGTTCTATTCTTCAAATTATTACAATCTACACGTAATATTTATGAACATAGTGAAAAACTTCTTCTTGAACATTCATTGACAAAATTTATCAACGATGATGAACAAATTGCATATGCTTTTAAATTACTTGAATGTCTTTATCGTCAAGAATATGAAATTTATCAGAATTTTTATAGAATTTCAAAAGTAGACGTAGAAAATAGTGCCAATGATTTGTGTTCATTGACGAATTTACAACCTGTTATCCAGCAAGCAAAAGATGCATCTGAACAATGGCTTGCTGCTGGAAAAGCTTTTATTCAACTACGTCATAAAGCTCGAACGAAAGATGAATACTATTATGATAAAGTAGCACGAAAGTTAACGAAATGGGGACGAAGCGCATTAAACTTACTTGTAGGAACATCAAATACAAAGCATAGTTATGATGTTGATGCTGGTTTTGCATCTGTACTTCAAGAAATTATTTGGTTGATGCAATCACAACAAAATGGAATTCATCAAATCTTTACTATGCCAGACCAATATCCATTGCATAAATTAGTTAATCTACACCACCATTATCAAACTTTGTTAAATCTTGCTCCATTAGATAAACATTTGTTTTCTCAAACAAACGATATTTATCAGTTGACTATAGAACGCTTGAATTTGAACATGAAGATGATTCATATTATATTTTGGGATAAACATGATAAAAAACTTCCTGTTGTTAGTTTAACTATTACATTAAATAGCCCATCGATAAATCTTCATATTATTGTTAAAACAGAAATAACATATGTAGCTGTTGATACTGACAGTTCTGCAGGTATGATGATGAAGTGGTCAAGATTAATCGATGATCGAATGTCATACTACGTATTAAACAATGTGAAATTAACGTGTCAACGAGTGCACTCCAAATTTTGCTATATAGTTCCTGGTATTGATAAAGAAATATCTGAATCAACAGTTCCGTCTACAACTGATGTGCAAAATGGTCTACATGAATTAGAAGATCAACTGAAAGTACGATATCAACAAAATAATGAAGAAAAAGATTTTCAATCGTCACCATTTACACAAGCACTTGAATTATTAAACACAAACTTGACAAAAATTAATTTGATACTGAAGTGTCCGACACTGAGTATGAATGATCTATCAACAATATCGAATACGTATCGTATATTCATGTCATTACCACAAATAGACAAAATCCAACAAGCAATAGATTTATTACCAATGAAAAACTTCTCATCTATTTCACCACTTATACAATTTGTTAATGATGATGATCCAGCAACGAGTGTAAACTTCAATTCTGTTCAAACTCATTCAATGGAAAAAGCTTTCCTCTTAGGCCGACAAAGTTTATTAAATACTCGCGATCAAATGAAACGTTTTGTTAAATATTTGTATCTAACTAAAGCGTATATTATCTTGACTTATGCATGGGCTAATGCACTTTCAATAAATGGATTATCAGATACTCAACAAGAATTTTCGATGATGATAAAAGAATGTGAACAATTTGAAAAATTAAGCATGGAAAATACACAAGAGAATCTTCAACATGTAAATGATTATCGCCGAGTCATCAATGATGCACAACGAATCTATCGTACAATCAAACGAACATCAAATAATTGGATTGAAATCAAACGTTTAATGGCTTTATCACCTTTAGCAATCGAAAACAATCTCAATGCTGCATTTCTTCATTCACAAATGAGTCGTGATGCTCATCTATGGCTAACAGAAATGAAAAAGGACGATAACACATCGTCACTTGTGACATGTCATCCAACATCTGCTATTCTTGATTTTGGTATTTCACTTATTGGTATTCATCAACGAATAGTTCAACGTATATTTATTCATAACCATACCAATCGAGATCTAACGATACGAGTTGACCGAAATAGTTCAAATGATACTGTATTTGATGTGACAAGTGAAAATGCTCAAGTCAGTGCAAGCAGTATGTGTGAATTAGAAGTCTTTCTTCGACCACTGTCGACATTTGGTTCAACAGAGGAAAAGTGGAATTTATTAATCGATAATGAAATTTCATTATCGGACGTTATTCAAGTGAAAACTCAGACGGTTAAAGTCGATGTAGAACAATCGGCTGATATAATTAATTTTGATTGTATAGCATGCGGTAGTTATCGAATCGAAAAAAGTATCAATTTAAAAAATATTCTACCCTGTCTAGTACGTATTAAATCTCAATTACAAGGCACGGAAAACAATCAGCGACATTCTCAGTTGACCCTTCTCAACAATGAATTTGAACTGCCACCAGAATCAACTCTACCATTCAATATTGCACTTGAACCTACAGATAATATCGAAGAAGATATTGAAGCAGATGTATGTTTAGCAATTGATTCCGCTCGAAATCTGAAATGGATCAAAGTTCTTGCACAGGTACGACGTCTTAATTTATCTATAATATATCAAGGTCGTGTCTATATGGAGAATATTTCATCCGATCGTATATCAATTCATGATTTCTATAAAGGTGAAAAACGTCTCATTTCTCTTGAATTTCAAAACCAAGGACTCATTGAATATACTCTTCTTCTCTCATCGAAAAATATCATATTGAACATACCTGAAGTACACTTACCTTCTAATACAAAAAAGACTGTCCAAATTGAACTTGAAATATCGACCACTGTACGACAAGATTCTGTACTTGCCATTGATGTCATCAATAATAAACATCACTATGAATTGACATTTGATTGTCGAACAGCACAACCTCAATTGACTTATTCATGTCGCTCATCAGATAATAAGCAGCATATATCAATTACACATTCTCCTCATATGGAGCAAATTTGGAATAAAAATCTGCAACGAATATCACCTATTGAACATGAAATCATATTTAAGAATGGAGGTCGAGCCGCAGCAACATTAAGTTATAAACGTACTGTATCAGCTCAAACTCCACGAATACCTTTAACAGCTGAATTTTATATGGAACCAAATAATCTTGTTATTGCGCCTAATTCACAAGTACCTGTCCGTTTTCTTTATCATCCAGTGGATTTACGAAAATTTGATGCTCAGATACAAATACAAACAAATACCTCGATTGATCCAATCAATGTGCCGTATTATGTTGAATTCGATACACCTATCTTACAATCAATGCCGCGAAGTTTAATCGATATTGGTTTGCTTGAATCAGACAAATCTTTTAAAGATAAAATATTATTAGTTAAGAATATCGGACAGAAAGAACTTCGTTTTGTAATATCAGAACCTCGCCGAAAACATTCACGTATTAAAACGGCTTTTCTACAAGAATCATCGTCTGCTACTTCATCATCAATCAATCAACCACTGCGTATCAATCCGAATCAACACCGTTCATTTGATCTTAAAATCGAATATAATCAAGTCGATTCTAGTCTTGAATCTGAAATAATAGAACTTGTTGAATTTGAACTGACAAGTATATGTGATCCTGTCATTGACATGGATAGTATACTTACCAATCGCACGGTAACGATTGTCATCGTTGGACATACAAAAACATTAGCAGAGTATGCATCACCGAAAGAAAGTAATTCAAATAATTGGTCTAGTCTAGAGTTACTATCATCATCTTGGTTATATCGTATTTATCGAGAACATACCATTTATGCAGCTTATATACCATTAATAATGCTCACAGCAATTGCTCATGTTTGTGGCTCACAAAAAACAAAGAATTCATCATTGCCGATGACTGAAGAGGAATGGTCAACATTCTGTTCGAATCTTCATCGTGATGGAAGTGGAATCTATCAAAAACAATTAAAGCTTGATTCTTTTGGTGATCAGGCAACAATGGACATGGCTACTGACACTTTAACCAAACATTTACGATTTTCATGTATAAGTAATCGATCCTTCTTCTATTATTCGAGTTTATTTCATCGTTCGTTTACAAACTATGAAACTATTCGACTTCAACTCATCGGTGTAAATAATTCAGCGGCGAATATCGACGAAGCTTATGCAATGCAAAATTATGTAGAAAAATTTTGGAATATCTATGAAGAATGTTCAGTCGAGAATGTCCATGAACAGACTATTGAATTTATACATCAATGTATCAGCAACGATTGTGCTATGCCTGAAAGCATTCGTTCTTTCACTAAATTCATTCATCAGATTGTTCAACCTTCTTCAACAATTAATATAGAAAAACAATTGTCAACACTAATACCATCAGCAAGTACTTTCAGGGAATTAATTCAAACTTCAACTAATCTATTCGATTTGAAATGGACACTACTCTTTTTACATATAAATGAACATACTCGAGCAATACTGATTCGATTGATAAAAAATGATTGGCAAGCATTACTCGATTTATACTTGATAATTGTTAGACAACAAAATACAGATATTATACAAAGATCATTACTCGAAGCAGTGGAGAATATGCATAAATCATGGGATACAATGGATATAAAGATTAAAGCGACTATTTTTATTCCACTATTCGATAATTTTAAAGAATTTATTCCTATTTTTACACGTGTGTTAGGCAAGCAAAAGCCGCAACTTGGTGATCTAATAGAACTGACAGAATTAGTCCTTGCACGCCTCGAACCATCACAACCGTTACAATCTATCTTGAAAGTTTTTACCAAAACCAGTTACACCTCTATTTATGACGCACTTCGAAGCATTTCTTCTCTTCCTTATCCGCCACCTCAACGACTCATTTCAGAAATGTGCCAATTCCGACGAACATTAACTGATAATTTCCAAAATCCGCCCATCCGTGCAGAACATATCAAGCCGTATTGTGATATACTTGGTCAGCTTCTTTCACTCACTCATAATCAATGGAATTCTGTCCGGAAGGTAATTGAATATGCTTGTACTCTACTGTGTAATGTAAATGAGAAAGATAGAACAGTAGCGTCTGTTGTTATTGAAATTCTTTTTCTTATCAATATTCTTAATCCGGAACGGAATTGGTATTCAATTCGAGAATTATACAAACACCTGTATTCTACACCTACATGGGAAGCAATGCTTAGTTTTGCAGATGCTTTGGGTTTTCATAAAGAAGTTATTCATCTGACCGAAACATTGAAAAATGATCAAACTGAAGAAAATAAAGCTGAAACAATTTTACAACTATATCGTCTTGTATCAACGGATGATGAATTAAAATTACTCAATAAAAACGAATACTTAATTCGTCAATTATCATTACAAACATCAACATCTCCTACTGTCTTTTTCGAACAAGTTCGTCCATTTACTCCACTAGATCTTCAACCAAAAATTGATGCTTATTTGATTTTACAACGTCTATCATCGTGTTCAACGCCCGATGATGAAACTCAATATATTCTTTTTGACAATATTGTTCCATCATGGTTGACATTATTCGATATAAATTGTAAAAAATTACATAGATTATTCACTGCTATTTCATCTATATTAACTTCATTTCCTGGTCTACTAATAACCAGAAATATTCCTCTATGTCAACAGCTTTATACTACAAACTTGGCTTCTGCTCTGTGTATGCTTGCGCAATGTCGCCAAAATACTCGAGAAGAATTCGTTATTAATCCATCCAATTCATCATCAACCAAGGTACCACCAGTGTTGATGGCGATCCGTGAAAGTGTTACCAAGTCTATCGATACTCAACAGACTTCAAACGCCATCGTTCAACTACCAACAACGATTACACAATCGACGACTCCACCAACACTCACAAGAATGAAATCAATTGTCTGTCCATATTCTGAAGAAATACTAGCAAATATGGAAGCATTCGTAGTAAATTATATCAAACATATTAAACAACCATCGAATGGTTTTTCTGAAGCTGATACAATTCATTATATTGTCGATACTACACTAAATACTACTTTGTCACAAATCACTCAATGGTACGCTACATTCACAACGTTCAATGTTCTTGTTCATTATCGATCGAATTCAAATAATTCTCAACATATCCAAGCTGGTCACGATATTGTTCAACATGGTCTCCATTTATTACGTAATCTTGTTGTAGTTCGAAAAATCCTCGAACCCAATTTTGCAAATGTTGGTGTTCAATTTCTTATCAAAGAATTAACACAACTTGAAAAGTGCTTACTATCGTTATCTCTCGAAAAATATCCAGTTATTCGCAATACTCTTCGTCAATTGAATCTCGACATAAGTCGAATTAAAGTCGATTTTAATTTGCCTTCCCAATCTGTGGCTCCTAAAGGTAAATCATCAAAAAAGACAAGACTTGATATTCTTCCACAAATCAATTCACCACCAGAATCTATTGAACAAAATAGTGCATTGATGCCATTGACCAACAATAATGAACATAATGATCCATCAATGTCATTCGACGATTGGCAAAATGCAATGACAGCAAGCAATGATCAGCAAATTGCAGATGCTCTGAAATTAGCCAAAAAGACTCAACAGATGAAACCGAAAAAGACGAATATATCAAGTGGCAATACGAATCTTCAAACAAGCATATCGAACTTAGCTAATAATATGTTACAACAAAATACAGGTAAAATGAACGCAATATCAACTAGTGGCGGAACAATGTCGACCGATATGTTACCATCTGATATGGATTCATCGCCTATGCACGAGATCAATATTGATTTACAAATGAAAGCTATGCAAGAACATTTACAAAAACAACCGAATCTAGTTGATATGTATGAAAAAGCAGGTTCTAAAGTAGCTTCGGCTGTTCCTGAAGGAAAGCTAGATAATCGTGCAGCTCTCCGACCAAGTGAGAAACATGAACGATGGACGTATGAATTGTTAGTTGAGGCACCATCTATTGCTCGAATGATAGATCTTATCGTACAAGGATTTCGATCACACTGGGAAAAATTAATGACTAATTTGAATATACTTGATCAACATCAAATACATTGGTGTATTATTATTGATAATTCGGGTTCTATGAGTATTCATAGAAATGCTATTTACGAAGCTCTTGTTGTTATTATGGAGTTATTACGTAAGTTAGAAAGTAAATTTGCCGTTGCACGTTTTGGCACACGAACAAATCAAAAAATATTGAAAAACTTTGATGATCTATATACAAACCAAGATGGACAGTATGTTCTTGAAGCATTAACATTTGACGAAGGAACTTATCCTGCTACAGGTTTATTACGTATTATCGATCGAGTATTTCCTATTGATAAATCGGGAAAACCACCAAATAATCTGGTACATCGTCTTGTTCTTATGATTACTGATGGTCTAACACAAGAACGTGATGATAAAAGTTATTCTCAAACGATCAATACTTATAAAATCGATCTTGGTTTTATGTTTATTGAAACAGCAGATCAGAATAGTAGTCAAGTATTACTCAAAGGTTTAAAACAAGCACAAAGTTGTGTACTTAAAGCGAATAATATTGGTGAACTATCATCTACAGTTCCTCAACTTATGCATGAGATGATTAAAGCTTGTTTGAAACCATCATCATCTACAACAACACAAACAACGTTATCGCCAACCATTAACATTAAAATACCTGATAAGAAAGATGTTTCATTTATTTCAGAGACACACAGTGGCAAGCAAATATATACAGCAGCAAATCCAGCATCATACACAATTAGTAGTCCAACAGCGAGTATTCCAAACTTATCTCAGGTAAACTAAATGATCATTAGGGAAAAAAGAAGAAATTTGCTTCTACAAATTCTTATTTTTAATTTCGTTCTTTTAGATTCGTTCGGAATTATTGAGTTATTTATCTCGATCAAATGAATATACTGATTATGCGACGCATGCAGTCGATCAATTACGTCAATACTATCATTCGTTGAAAACAACATTGACAATACAAGAAATCGAAAAGAAATGGATTGCTGATGAATACCGTTTTTCTGGTTTAATCGATGATCTATCTACCGTATTTGGTGATCTTGTTTTTCCACTGAATAAATTTACACGTCGTCGCGCAGCTCTTCGCGGATCATCACTATATCTTCCTGGTCTTATTAAAGCAATGACCACTGAATGGAGTTACAAAAAAATTTTTAGTGCTAAGTTAGCTGGAGGAAAACGCGAACATATGATGTGTCTTGTAGTTGATGTTTCAACGTCTATGTTTGGTACTCTGAGTATTGGATTGATGGATGCTATTGTTGTACTTATTGCTGCTTTACGTAAAATCAATCTAGATAACTTTGGTATTATTGTTTTTGGTCGCTCGGTTCGATTAATAAAGACAAATGAGCAAGGATGGGATGCAGCATGTATTTATGCACTTATACAGGAATTACGTTTCGATCAAGATGATGATACGAAAGATGCAGATGCTCTTGAAGCTGCTATCGATCTACTAGCTCAATGTTCAGTACGAGGAGAAAAAAAGATTTTTATTCTAACAGATGGTTATAGTAATTGTGGAAGCCGGTTATCTATGGTACAACAACGTGCCGAAGATCATGGCATTGATATTATTGCAATGGCTGTTGGTATTGATCAAACTAATTTTAAATCAGTCTATAAACGATATTTACAATGTGCAACACCTTATGGATTACCGAAAGCTTTGCGATCTCTATTTGAACAAGATACACAATTGTTCTCATTAGAATGGCCACCAAATATAAATACAACAGAGAATAATACTACGAATATTAATATATCGACTGATAATCTATTCGATGATATCAAATCTAAGAAAGTCTTTAGTGAAATGATTCAAGAATTGGCTGGTCAACGTGAACTCATGTTAGTAAATAGTGGTCAACCACCGTCGAATATGACTGTTGATATATGTTTTTGTCTCGATTGTACTGGTAGTATGTCTCGTTGGTTAATGGCAGCTAAAGAACAGATGAGAATCATCATCGAAGGTATAACTAAGCTGATTGAAAAAGAATATCCATCTTTGAAATTAAAATTACGTTTTGCTATTGTTGGTTATCGCGATAAGAATGATCGACCACAATTTTTTACGCAAGATTTTACCGATAATATTTCCACGGTTATTACGTTTTTGAATTCATTAAAAGCAGGAGGTGGTGATGATCTACCAGAAGATGTACTTAGTGCATTGGATCAATGTTTAACGTTAAAAAACTGGAGTAATACCAATGCACGTTTCATTGTGCTTATTACTGACGCACCTGGTCACGGACCAGAATTAAATGATAATCTTGCTATTGATAAATATCCTCAAGTAAGATTTTAATTGTTTGTATAGAATACTTTTCCTAGAAACATATATTCTTGTTTTTTTGTAGGGAGTAGAAACACATACTGTGAAAAATATCTGTGAACGTCTATTGAAGAAAGATGCTGAGATCGACTTAATGTTTTGTTGTATTAAACCAAACGCAACAGCTAAAATGCAACGAGCTTTTGCGGCCTACTATGATGCTAAGAAAGATGAGACAGGCAAAGCATTTACTACTATAAAATTATTTGACGATAAGCAACAAGAAACTCGATCATTTCATTTCGTCTTTGTTCTCGATGAATCAGGTTCAATGCGTGATGAATGGCACGCATTACAAAATGCATATCAAACGTTTTTAACACGACGGAATGATGACCAAGGTGGAGATGACCATTTTACTGCTGTACAATTTAATGATAGCGCACGCACTATCTATCAACAACAAAGACTTAGTAACACGCCTCGTACTCTAACAATGAAGGAAGGTGGAACGAATTACTGTGCTGGTTTAAATCAAGCAAGAAGCGCAATCACAGCTGATACAACAGCGTCATCGGTTGTAATGATTTTCATGTCAGACGGTGGTGATTGTAGTAGCGGTGATCCTACAGGACTCCTACGTCAACTGAAACAGCAATTTGGAACTTATCACAATTTTGTCTGTCATACAGTTGGTTTCGGCTCTGGTATCGCTAAAGGAAGTCCAGAAGAACAATTACTTAAAAACATGGCATCAGTAGGTGGTGGTCGAGCTTATTCTGCATCGACAGGTGCTGATCTTCAAACGGTATTTAGTAACATCGCTGCAAACAGTACAACAAGTGATGCATTGGTTGAACGTTTTTCGGAAATTCTTGCTCGTGAGATAAGTGTCAAGATTATGGTTGATTATTTGTGAACTCATCAATTTGTACTACTTAGCCTTATATTAATTGTGTGATTTTGCTTTTTTTTCATATTCTTAATAAATTATATGATTCAATTATAGCTTTTTATTTGTAACAACCTGATGATGAAGTTATATGAGGGAAGAAAGATAAAACTCACAACAGTGTTGATAGAATAAACTAAACAAGTATATTCCTCTGTTACTATAATATGATTTTATTAGCATTATATACTTGTTAAGACCAAAGTCAAGTCTTTGTAACTCCTTCAGATACATCTGTCATCGGGACGAAATCAAGTAATTGACGTGCTTTCGTATTACCACAATAAGTAATCAACGATTTTGTTCGATACGCTTTTTTCATTTGCACACGAATATGTCGATGCGATACTTGGTGCATTTGATCTATGAATTTATTCTATTGAATATGAGTTCCATAGCACACTTTGATAGTTTCATAACCTAATGGTCGTTAGAGTGCAACGATTACAGCATCAACGATATCATCGATGTAAGCCCATCTCGTTTCATTTCACAATTATCATGAACGTCGACT